ATGACTTTTCTTCTAATGAGGAAAACGCTTATCATTTCCCTGTTTATGATGTTGAATGAGAGAAATTTGATCCTCAATTGGAGATGGGAAAATGTTTAAAAAATTGAAGAGTTCAAGGAAGCAGTTCGAAATCACAACGTAGCATCCATATGTAATTTTAGATTCAAGCCCAATGAAGAGTTCAGAGCCCATGACATCTATAAATTAGGTTGTACGTGGAGGATTTGGGCAAAAAAGGTTGTCTGCAAAAAAAGTCAAAAAAATCATAACATACATGCATCAGGGACAGAATAAATAGGCATTCCACTTCCAAGTACATAGCGAATCGATATTTAGATACCTTCAAAGTTGACCCCAATTGGAAGTCTAAGCTTATTATAAAGACAGTAAAGGATCATACAAAGTTGACAATCAATAAGGTTATAGCATGGAGGACTAGAAGATATGCAAGAGTACTGATACAAGGATTTGATGAGCACCAATATGGATTGCTTAGGTTTTTTGTTGCTGAAATTTTGAGAACTAATCTCGGGTCTACATGCATTGTCGCCATTCATGATTTAAAGTTTCAAGGAATTTATTCGTCAGAAGGTTGCAGGCAGCTTCTGTGGTTTGATGGATGTTTCTTGAAAGGGACATTTGGAGGGCAGATGGTTGTGATAGTGGTATTAGATGCCAATGATTGTATTTACCCAGTAGCATATGCTAAAGTTGAAAGGAAGAATGTTACTACCTGGAGGTGGTTTATTCAACATTTGAGTGAAGATTTGAAGATAATGAATAGCAATGAATGGACATTTATGACAAATAGGCAAAAGGATTTATAAATGTGATATACAATTTGTGTCTTGAAGCAAAGCATCGATTTTGTGTTAGACACAAGTATAGAAATTTCTTTAGTACTGATTTCAAGGGTTTGATTCTTACAGAATACATATGGAAGGTTGAAAAGTCGACAACAGTGCTCGAATGAATGTTTTGGATGGGTGAGATGGAGAAAGAAAGCGGTGCAGTGCATAATTGGTTAAAGAAAAGGCACCCAAGTGGATGGAGTAAGGTTTATTTTCTGTCATAGGTTAAGAGTGACATTCTTTTAAATAATCTGTGCGAATTCTTCAATAATGTTGTATTAGAAGAAGAGGAAAACCCATATTGACAATGTTGATTGATTTGCATATAAGCTTCATAAAGAGGATACAAGTAAGAAGGGATAAGATGTGAAGAGTAGTATGACCTTTATGTCCTAAAGTTCAAAAGAAAATTTATGTCAAACATTGAGATAGCTGAGTTATATGAGATGGATTAGTCTAGAGGGGCACAGTCATATGTGAAATGTTCTAGTGGGAAATATGTTGTTGATCTAATGAACAAAACATGTGCATGTAAGATATGGGATTTGACTGGGTTTCTTTGTGCTCATGCAATTACTGTTGTTATAGACAGAAGGGATGAGGCGTAGAAGTATGCGTGCATAAGTGTTAGAGAGTGAATACATATATGAGCTGTTATGAGAATATTACATACCTTATCAATAGAATAAAATTATGGTCTCGAGTAGATGTCCCTTCAATCAGTCCATCGGAATGGTTTGTGCCTAAAAGGGGAGAAAAACAGAATAAAAGACGAAGACAATTATAAGATGCATAACCTGTTCGGGGTCAAAAGCAAAGTTGAACAAGAAGGGTACCATGGTGATTACTTGTAATTTATGTGGAGGGACAAGCCACAACAATAGGTATCGTCCAAAGGCCAATGCACCACATGAGATTTGTTTACAAATGTGCTTTGTATTGTGTTTTCTAATTTTTAGCTTACTACATGATCTAATGTGCACTAGTTTATATTTTCGTGCTAGGATTTGTCTTTTGGGGTTGTAGATCATACATATGAAGGAAGCTTAAGGGTTGTGGAGAGTGAAAGATCAAAGGTAATTACATCTATTGCAATATCATACTGTAAGTGTCTGGCCAAATAAATTTTTCACTACATATATGATTTCATGACACTATGAAAGGCAAAACTCGTGTCTAGGAGGCAATCAAGGAAGCCTCCATCTAAAATGTAATCACCAGAACAATCATCTAATTTTCTTTTCATGCTAGCACCAGGAATTTGTTTAATTTTAACTAATTATCACTCTCGAGCAAAATTAGCCCAAATCAATTAGTTTAACCCATTATATCTCCATATCCGTTAATACCCAATCAATTGCATTAACTATTTGTGAAAATAGTTCAAAGCGTCACCTAAGTTAGCAGTATATCTTTATCTCCTACAAGAATTTAGAGTATTTACTACTTGGTCTAAAATACACAATATTCTCTCAAACATTATACAAATCACTCGACACGATCATTTATTAGTCAAATAAACGAAAAATCATTAAATGCAATAATAAATACACATGAAAATAAATATTTTGACATTAAAGAGCAAATATTAAAATTAATAAAGATAGATTAAGCTACACGGGAACCTTGCTACCTCTATTTTGCAGCTGAAGTCCTTCAAAAACTATACGCCAGGTCCCTCAACTTTGATATCATACATTTTGGTCATCAAACTTTGACTTTTATTTCAATCATACCCTTTATAATTGCAACAAGGTCCTTCAACATTTTGCTTCAGTCCCCAACTTCATGTTTTGGGCAACTTTAGTCATTTTTCTATACCTTTTGCATAGTTCTCTTTCAATTTGAAATTTTGACCTATAAAACATTAATTACACAATTATAAGTAGAAATTTGTTCATTTAATCAATATTAAGCTTATTTAGGCGTCCAATGAGTGTCTGAAAACACACTTATTAATAATCTTCCACATGGATAGGATTAAAAGTGTTATACTGAAGATCATGCAGATGGATTTTTTTTCCTTCCAATTGATGTTGGAGAGAACCATAAATGGAATTCGATATTTCAACTTACGACGTTAGAACTCGAAATGAAATCTCGAGTATTTAGTGAAATATCAAAGTTTTCAAAAACCCTTTGCATGAAAATCAAACTAGAAATTCAACTGTTGTTTGAGCTTATTTTTTGTGAAAAATAAATTTTATTAGTAGTAATTTTTTTAAGAATGTGTGCTTACAAAGTATGGAAAAGATTTATGTTTACGAGTAAAATTATTTAATTGAAAGAATATTTGGTTGAAAATGAGTTTTTAAAATATTGGGCTCAAAGAAAGGTGCAACCACAAGTCGAAATGTGAAAGATCTACACAAATCTTCAAAGAATGTTCTCTCGGCCAATTTTATTTTTCAACCTTCAAATCCCAAATTGAGATACAAATCTTTGAGGATATGATGTATTCTGATTTTAATTTATCCTTAAGATTGTATATCTAACCTTTCTTTATGTTTGAATGAAAAATTCCTATTTATAGAACTCAAATTAGGTCTAAAATAGAGTACTAAAATAACAGGAACTATGATTTTAGTCAAATTAAGTTATCCCAAATTGCTGGAAGTTATACTTTCATTTGTATGATTTGGTACCTTGTTTCCTCTTTCTTGTTCAGATTGAGTCTGTAGATATTGCAATGGAGGTCCTTTAACTTTCAAATGTGACTCCTTCGTTCCCAATTTCTAGAATACATTCAAATTTAATCCTTTTGATTAATCATTGTTTTATTTCGTCCACTCTCTTCCAAAAATGAATTTTTCCCTACAAACAAGCATAATTGAGCATCAACCTTGTAATAATCACTTCCAAAGACTATTTTTAATGGTCAAAATAAGCGTATTACTTCCACTTATTAGCCTATTTTAGTATGTACGAATTTCAGAGTATGTGAATTAAACAACAGTATCTAGAGATGCTGAAAGTGTGATCCACTTAAACACATGTTTGTGAAGAAAGGGATGAGCAGGGATAGATGTAAGGGGGACTGAGTTGAGCTGTAGTCCTTCCCAAGTCACGGGAATTTATTTTTTATTATTATTATTATTTTTGTATAAACAGTTTTTTATGTGTAAATTTTTATTTTTTATTTTTTATTTTCACGTATTAGCCTAGCTTAAAAAATTTTGTAGTCCGATCTTAGATTCAATTCTGGATCTGTCCCTAGGGATTAGCCTTTTATCTAAAGATGTGATGGCAATGATAACCAACGAGGTTGAGCTATGGATCGTGCTTCCCTATCCTTAACTGAGTCAGTGGATTGTTTGAATCGTCTCTCATTTTTATCCTTGCTTCTTCTTCTTCTACACTCTTATGGCTAATTCTTAGGCTTAATCAATAGGCTTGAAAGATTAAGTACGATAATTCTTTTTTGTCAAAATACTTCGTAAACTGAGAGTCTATAAGAGATTTTGTGTTAAATTGTGAACACACTTTATCCTTATTGTCCCCAAGGCTATGCTTTGATTCAGGTTTTGCCAAGTTCAATAAGAAATTTTATATTAATGCGCATTTTTTTTTTAAATTTTCTTCGGAAAGAAATCAAAATTGTATTGAGATGTTTGATAAGCGAACAACACTCATCGAATTTTAAAAAATAGATAAAAATCTTATTTGTTATACGTATTTCAGACATGCACCAATAATTGAAATATGTTAAAAAAAACAACATAAATAAATATTATGAAAAGAAGATACATTATGAGATCAATAAGCAACCATGACAAGGAAATAAAAGGGTAATTTTGGTGTTGTTTGATACTACAGAAACTAATCTTATTTGAGGGTAATTATATTCACAATATAATTTTTATTCCTTCCACCATATTTATTTGTACTAAAGGTTCTTAACCTTTACTCGTCATCGCACTTATGTCCCTCAAAATTTTCATGTCATTCTTATCTTCAAACTTTTTATTAATTAACACATTTTGTATTTGATAACAATTTTATATCAAAAAGTCCATTGAAATGACGTGAAATAAATTATTTTTTCATCATATTTTTAAAAAATAAAATAATAAAAGTGTGAAAAAAATCCTTCCCTCATTTCAAAGTATGAAAACTAAATATTTTAATATTAATCATTATCAAAGATGAGACGTACTATTTAATAGAAGATTAAAGATAATTCAATGAAAAAATTTAAGAAAATAATTATTACATTGACCAAAGACTAAGGAGTTTAACTGCAAAAAAAATGTGGTGTATCAAATAAAAATTGTGGTGACAATATAACCACCTTTTATGTATATTATATCTACCTAATTAGAAAAGAAACTACAATTTATGACCACAATCCAATGTGTATGGGTACAACCAAAAATGAAAATAATACAAGTTGGCAAATGTGAATGTTGTTGAAGAAGAGCATTTTCAGAATGCACGAGCTTTTACAATGTCAAGGCTCATTTCACTTGGATCTGTTGCTTGCAATTCAACTTGTATTCCATCAAGTTCTCGCTTAAATCTGTCCTTAGAACTCGCATACACCATCTTCATTCTCACTTTTGAGCTATCCGGTGACCTAAAACCACGACAAATATATACTTTCATCGATTTATAACAACAATAAAATGTGAACAAAATCCTATGAGCCCTTAAGGATTTGTTCGAACAAGAAAAATATCAAGCAAATAAAAATAAAAACTCACCATCTTCTACCTCGATTCTTGTTTCGAGTACGACATAATTAACTAGTACGCCTTTAGTAGCTATGAACAATTTGAATATCTTACCAGGCAATAAAGAAAATCTTGCTTTTTTGAACATTTTCATCAGTGGTGAAGTCAAAATCATAGACAGCATAACGACACTCATTATCCGGCAGAGAAGCGGTGAAATCATCATAAGTGTCGCCAGGGTTGCCGAGTTTATCCACCACCACCTGCTGATCCTCAATCTTGAAGGTAATGTAACGGTGGTTTCTCTTTGCTTTTAATTCCAAAAATTTCAACTTGCACTCATCTTGCACTGCCATTCCAGATGAAGCATTCGCCTACCCCAAAAAAAGTATTAATAAACAAGCGCAGAAAGAAAATAATGCAAAGAAAGTAAGCTAACATGAAATAAGACTACTCAATATTGTAATCATCTTCGATTAATGTAACCAATAGTATGATTTATTTTTATTATAGGATAATTCGTAGCCCTTTCTCAATAATAGATAGAAGTCTTATCACATTTCGAGCTGAGTTTTTGCTCTAACAAATTTGAGATTGATTATATACCATTCATAAAAATTTCTATTATTTGTAATCCGCAAACAACAACAACAACAACAATAAATAATAATGTTGATAATTTGCGTGAGATTAATAAATACCACAATTTATAATTGTCAAAAACAATTATTTACACATTATAAAAAAAGGTCTTGAATTCTTTTAAATGAATTCGAATATGAATGAATATACAAGTTTCAATCAGAACGTAATTCCACAAAACAATTCAATTCCATGAAATTAATAAATACCCAACAATTTATCATTGTCAGAATAATTATTCTCATATTATAAAACAAAATCTTTAATTCTTCTGTATGAATTCACATAATAATCATTCATGCGGAAACTTAATTTGCATTAATTTGATGAAAATAACCCCAAAAATTTCACATATTATAGAAAAGCTAACATTTAAATATTATAAAAAGAAACATTCCTTCTAAATGAATTCACATATTAATCATTCATAAAAAATCTATCAGTATGAAATAAATAAATACCCCACATTTATTAATTATCAAAACAATCATTTGCATATTATAAAACAACTCTTGAATTCTTCTAGATGTATTCTAAAATGAATCATTCATAGAGAGGATGGGTGGTGTGGGTGGGGTAGGGCAGAATACCATCTTGTCTTCCAGATAGGGGTAGAAAAAGCAGCAAAATGATAATAATAGAGATCGCATGGGATCCTTGAAATAAAGAAAATAAATGACAAGTTGGGTTGTCTATAAACGGAGAAAAAATATCGGGGAATTAGAGATATTCTAGGGAGAAAATAAGGGTTAGGAATTGTCTTAGCTCATTTTAGGTTGATAATATCCCTCCCATAACCAACTCTTTTTTCTTTTCTTCTGCAATTATATTCACCCAATTTATTTAATTTTCTTTTAAATTTTAAGGAAATTTTTTGAGCATGTTTTGCATATCGTTTTGATTAGGGGATTGAATAAGAGAAAAGATTATGAAAGATAGGATTAGGGGATTATATTAGATTAAAGTGTGTTGTTCTAACTCGAAGTTTAGTGTTAGGTTGTATTAGAAGACGGAATTGTCAATGGATAATTCTATTCTTTAATAAATAATATATAAGAGTTTGAGCTACTCGTTAACCATTTGATTGATGTTCAAATCTTCCATTTGGACAATGGACACTAAGATTTTCAAACATCTTGCAAGTTGCATTGTACATATCTAACAATCTCTTTATAGAGTCATTATGAAAACTCCAACGAGTTGCTTATGATCATTGTAAATAAGATACTTGATTTGCTCATCTTCCCGATTCACGCTCCCCAGTAGCTAACATATGCTCAATTTCATTTCTTTGAGCAGATTGTAACTTTGTAATGCGCTTAGTGGAAGAGGTGAAAATATTGATAATATTGTCCAAATGAGCAAATAACTCCCAAATAACATCAACTTCTTTAGTTACATAAACCAATATCAATTGTAATTGATGAATAAAACAGTGGACACAATATGTGTATGGACAATATCTAAGAAATAATACCCTAGGTCTATCCCAAGTGCCCTGCATATTATTAGCACCATCACATACTTGGCCTCTCATTTTTGCCACTTGATGTTCATGTTGAGCAAGAACATTTAAAATCTCATTTTTTTAGATTTGATGATGTAGTGTCACTGACGCTTTTGATATCAAAGTAGTGTTCGGTCAAAATATTTTAATCTTTCACAAACCTCAAAATAATAACCATTTGTTCTCTCTTAGATGCATCTTGTGCTTCATCAACAAGAATACAAAAGTATCCATCCCCAATTTCCTCACGATTCGTCCCTCTTACTCTGTTTACCATTATGTGTAAGATTTCTTTTTGAATATTTGGAGCAATATATTGGGCATTTTTTGGAGCATTTTTCAAAATAGATTTATCAATATATGTATTCGTTGCTGCCAAAATTTTTATCATTTTAAGAAGATTTTCACGATTCAATGAAGATAAAGATTCATCATGACCTTTGAAATGCTAGCCATCGAGCACTTTGAATTGAAGTCTTTAAACATAAACTAAGTTTCTCAGCTTTTTCATTTAATACGGTATGCATGACTTTGTTAATATGTTGAGATGGTTTCATTAAATTTTTAGCTCTTCTCTCACACATATTATGATTCGATGATCTCAAATGAGTAAGAAGCGCACATTTTGATTTGTCATTAACCCTCTTCCATTGGTTATATCTAAAACGAACAATTGGACAAATTATCATCGTTCTCGAAAAGATAACAATAAAAACAATATGTCATATCTGTTATAAGTGAATACTCTAACCATGATAACTGGTCGAACCATTTCGCCTGAAAGCGACAAGACTGAGATTTTCCTTGTGTCTTTGGTTACTCAACAAGTTTTGATTGATAAGACCCAGCTTTTAGATATGCTACTCAAGTCTCATCTTCCAGATTAAAAGCATATTCAAGTATTCGTTTTCTTTTCCCCGATTCTCGTTCAATGCTAATATTTGAGGATGAATGTTGTTCACTTTTTGGTGGAAATGAAGGTTGATCTCCAATTAGTCCATCAGAAATTATACATTCAGTAGGTCAATCTGCCCTTTGAAAGAAGGAAAATAAGTTCTTACTCTTCTTGAAAAGAGGTTGACCTTCCATTTTCAATTTCTTAAAATTACCAAAAACAAAAAATAAAAAAAATCAACCATCAATGAGATTACTCTAATGACAATCAAAAAATAATTTATTAATTCGACAAGGCAACGAAAATAATTTATTAGGTTGACAAGCCAACAGCAACAATCATTGAAACAAGGCAACAGATCAACAACAACTCATCAAGCCAACAAGACAACATTTCAACAACAATTAATTTACTGATTTACTAACAAGACAACTTACACAAATAGGCAATAACATTCAATTTCAATATTTTTCTGGCAATGCAACAAGTAGAGAGATGAGGACATTTACTTACTAGGGTGTATTCAAGCTTTTGGCTTTTCCTACATGTCTGCGAAACCGCGTCCGTGCCTTGAAAAATAATTCAATTAAAACTGTTGGCAATGAAAAGGAATTTTGCATTAAAATTTGGAATGAGCTTTTACACCGCAATCTAATTAACTAAGGTGTGTGTATTGAAAAGCTATTGTCAAATTTAATAACAATTGAATTATTGAAGCAGAAAAGTTAAAAAATGCTCAAGTACTAAAAAAAAAAAAAAAAAAAAAAAAAAATTTAGACCATTTCAATCGAATCAAACTAGACCCAAAGCAAAGGAATGTGTCTTTGTTGGCTATGATCCATACAGGAAAGGATGGAAGTGCATGGATCCAAAAACAAAAAAAAAAAAAAAAAAAAAAAAAAAACTTTAGGCCATTTCAACAAGCTGCAAGCACTATTAGTGTTCTAGTTCCAGTATCTAGTGCTTTTCAATTCAGTAAATCTTTTAGCTATATAAATTTTAATGTAGTTTATGATTTTATGACCTATGCACATGAATGAGAAAGCACTGTTAAAAACTTAGAAGAATGGTGAATATTTTTAAAAGGCCCTTTTTCACCAAGTTAAGGTAAAAAAGAGTGACCACTGAACATCAAAACATTTCATTTTAGAAGTCTTCTTTTGCCTCAATTATCTAGTTTCCCCTTGTTAAAAAGGGCCATTTTTCTCCAACTGTCCAAGTCATCATCTTTTATTACTAACCTTTGTCCCAGTTCCATGTTCCTCGACCCTCCCCCATTCGCCAACTGTCCAAGAAAACCTTGATTTTTTCTAAAACTCATACTCAAAAATCAATATTAATGAAAAACATATATAAAAAAAAATTCCAAATTGCAAAATATAAGAATCTAAACTCCGAAATTGAAAGTACTTACTAGAAACCTGACACCAATTATCAATAGCCGCTGTCCCAACTTCCGCCAAAACAAGGGAGTAACATACCCTTTTAAGAAACTAGAGATGGAATATTTGATTTGGATATTGGGTTCCTTAATTTTATAGAAATTTTATAAGGTGACTGAGAATTTGAAAGTTTTAGGCTTTGGTTGCCACTTGTCAGATTGTACAGCATTGCTGTTGCTATGGACTCATGGAAGAGACTGGAAAGGAAGAAATAATTGAATCGAAATAGAATTAGTTTCAGGTTTGGGTTCAGGTTAAAAATGGCTAATCAAAGTTAAGTTTTGTTTAAGCCAAAAAATAGGGTTGGATCAATTACACATTTTGTCGAACTCATTTGTTTGTTGGAATTAAGGCTTACTCAAATTTTTTGGTTGAACACGAGTTGCTCAATTAATTTTAATGGGTTCAACGAAAAAAATTGGACTAGTTGGACCTAGGTTTGGACGAACATGGGCTGTAGTCTAGGCTAGCCAATGCCTAGATCTGCCCCTGCAATCATTTGCAATTTAAGAAGATTAATATCTAATGCAATGAGGCCAACTGTGGGTAATTTGTCCCACGTGCCATTTTCATAGACCACGAACCGAGCACCACGGACAACATCAGATCGTATGGAGAGATATTCCATGTTAATAATTGTGTGTTGAGCAGTTCATGCTGGGTAAGTACCCTATTAACAGATTACAGATGAAATATTTGATTTGGATAGTAGGTTCCTTGATTTTAAAGAAATTTTATGAGATGATTGAAAATTTAAAAGTTTGAGACTTTGGTTGCCACTTGTAGAATTGGAGAGGATTGCATCGTCATTGCTATTGACTCTTGGAGGAGACTGGAGAGGAAGCAACAATGGATTAGAATTAGAATTAGTTTTATATTTGGGTTTGGGTCATAAATGGGTGGTCAAATTTAAGTTTCGTTTGGGCCACAAAAATTTAGTTGGTCAATTACTCATTTTGTTGGACTCATTTATAGGAATTAAGGCTGGAGACGAGCTGCTCAATCAATTTTAATGGGCCCAACAATCCAAAAAAAAAAAAAAAAAAAGTAGACTAATTGGATATGGGCTTGGGTGAGCACGAGCTGTAGTCCGGGCTAGCCCTTGCCTGGATCCGCCTCTGCAATCATCTGCAATTGGAGAAGGTTAATGTCTATTACAATGAGGCTAGTTGTGGGTGATTTGTCCCACGTACCATTCTTATAGATCTTGAACACGGCACCATGGACAATGTCAGATTTGGCTAGCACGGATAGATATTTCACGCTGATAATTTTCTATTCCGACAGTCCGATGCTAAGAGTAACATACCCTATTAAGAGATTGGAGATGTAATATTTGATTTGGGTAGTGGGTTCCTTAATTTTATAGAAATTTTATGAGGTGATTGAAAATTTGAAAGTTTGAGGCTTTGGTTGTCACTTGCCGGATTGGAGAGGATTGCATCGTCGTTGCTATGGACTCATGAATGAGAGTAGAGTGGAAGCAATATTTGATTAGAAATAGAATTAGTTTTAGGTTCAGGTTTGGGTTAGGGTTAGGGTTATAAGTGGGTAGTCAAATTTGAGTTTTGTTTGGCCAAAAAAATGGAGTTGAGTCAATTGCTCATTTTGTTGGAGTCATTTGTTTGTTGGAATTTAGGCTTACTCATTCTATTTTTTATTATTATTATTATTATTATTATTATTATTATTATTATTATTTTTTTTGTGTAGGACACGGGCTGCTCAATCAATTTTAATAAGCTCGACTAAAAAAAGGTGGATTGATTGGATTTGGGCATGTGCTAGTAAGGGATGTA